TGAGGTCAGGAGTTTGAGACCAGCCTGGCTGACTTGGTGAAACCCTGTCTCTATTTTTAAAAAAAAAAAAAAAAAAAAAAAAAGCCGGGCGCGGTGGCTCAAGCCTGTAATCCCAGCACTTTGGGAGGCCGAGGTGGGTGGATCACAAGGTCGAGAGATCGAGACCATCCTGGTCAACATGGTGAAACCCCATCTCTACTAAAGATACAAAAAATTAGCTGGGCATGGTGGCACGTGCCTGTAATCCCAGCTACTCAGGAGGCTGAGGCAGGAGAATTGCTTGAACCCAGGAGGCAGAGGTTGCGGTGAGCCGAGATCGCGCCATTGCACTCCAGCCTGGGTAACAAGAGCGAAACTCTTCACAAAAAAAAAAAAAAAAAAAATTAGCCAGGCATAGTTAGTGGCAGGTGCCTATAATCCCAGTTACTGGTGGCCACTGAGGCTGGAGAATCATTTGAACCCGGGAGTGGAGGTTGTGGTGAGCTGAGCTTGTGCCACTGCACTCCAGCTTGGATGACAGTGCGAGACTCCATCTCAAAAAAAAAAAGAAAAAAGGGGTGTAGAGGGATTGAAATGCCAAGAAAACTCGACAGTTTATCAAATAACATCTTTGCCAAACATCATAATGCCAGTTGTGGGACTGGCCTGTGTGCTTCCTTTAAGCCTTGGAGTTGTTACGAAAAGTTTTCTCCAAATAGAGTTTTGTTAATCATACGCTTTAAGATGTGCTATAAAATTTCTTAGATCTTTGGAGAGAAATAAACTGTTATAATAATTACTGTGGAGATGTTACTGGAAAGGGGTCCTGATCCAGATCCCAAGAGACGGTTCTTAGACCTCATGCAAAAAATAATTCAGTTGGAGTCCATATAGTAAAGTGAATGTAAGTTTATTAAGTAAAGAAACAAAAGAATGAAAACTCCATAGGCAGAGCAATAGCTGATAATGCCATAATTATTTACTGATTATATGCTAAACAAGGGGTGGATTATTCATGAGTTTTCCAGGAAAAGGGTGGGCAATTCTCAGAAATGAGAGTTCCTCCCCCTTTCAGACCATATATGGGTAACTCCCTAATATTGCCATGGCATTTGTAAACTGTCATGGTGGGGGGGGAGGGGGGGAGTGTCTTTTAGCATGCATGCTAATGTATTATAGTTAGTGCATAATGAGCAGTGAGGACAACCAGCAGTCACTTTTGTCGCCATCTTGGTTTTGTTGAGTTTTGGCCGACTCCTTTACCATCACCTGTTTTATCTGCAGGGTCTTCCTATCTTATCCTGTGGCTTAGAATGCCTAGCCTCCTGGGAGTGCAGCCCAGTGGGCCTTAGCCTCATTTTACCAAGCCCCTATTCATGGTGGAGTCCCTTGGGTTCATTTGCCTCTGACAGAGAGGGTAGCTTTTCGCTATATACTCTTTGCACCTTCAGAAATTTGGTTAAACACATGCTTGTAGTGTCTGTTTAAATTAGTTATATGTATATGTAAACGCTGGAAAGTTGCTGTTCTTCAAAAGCAGTCAGCTTGTATTTGACAATTTGGAAAATATAGGAAGAAAAAAGTCATTCCAGCTGGGTGTGGTGGCTTACTCCTGTAATCTCAGCAGTTTGGGAGGCTGAGGTGGGTGGATCATGTCCAGAGTTCAAGACCAGCCTGGCCTAGATGGTGAAACCCTGTCTTTACTAAAAATACAAAAATTAGCTGGGCGCAGTGGCAGTCACCTGTAATCTCAGCTACTTGGGAGGCTGAGGCAGGAGAATCACTTGAACTGGAGGGTAGAGGTTGCAGTGAACTAAGGTTGTCCCACTGTACTCCAGCCTGGGCCACAGAGTGAGACTCTCTGTCTCCAAGAAAAAAAAAAAGGGCCGGGTGCGGTGGCTCAAGCCTGTAATCCCAGCACTTTGGGAGGCTGAGGCGGGTGGATCACAAGGTCAAGAGATCGAGACCAACCTGGTCAACCTGGTGAAACCCCGTCTCTACTAAAAATAGAAAACATGAGCTGGGCATGGTGGCGCATGCCTGCAGTCCCAGCTACTCAGGAGGCCGAGGCAGGAGAATTGCCTGAACCCAGGAGACGGAGGTTGCGGTGAGCCAAGATCGTGCCATTGCACTCCAGCCTGGGTAACGAGCGAAACTCCATCTTCAAAAAAAAAAAAAAAAAGGAGATTACTCCAAATCCTATAATAATTCTGAAACAACAAATTGGGGTTGTCATTAAAAATGAACTTTTTTTTTTTTTTTTTTTTTGGAGACAGGGTCTTGCTGCGTTACCCCGGCTGGAAGGCAGGGGCACAATCTGGGCTCACTGGAACCTCCGCCTCCCAGGTTGAAGACATTCTCCTGCCTAAGCCTTCCAAGTAGCTGGGATTACAGGCGCCCACCACCACACCCAGCAGATTTGCATTTTTAGTAGAGACAAGATTTTACCATGTTGGCTAGGCTGGTCTTGAACTCCAGCCTTAAGTGATCCACCCACCTTGGCCTTCCAAAGCGGTGGGATTACAGGTGTGAGCCTCCTTGCCCCGCCAAAAGTAAACTCTTGAGTGGATGTTCTGTAGAACACTTACACTTCCTATAAACAGGTATTTCTAAATATGTGGATTTTTGTTTATTTGTTTTTGAGGAAAGGTCTTACTGTGTTGCACAGGTTAGAGTACAGTGGCACATCAGCTTACTGTAGCCTCAAACTCCTGGGCTCAAGTGATCCTCCCACCTCAGCCTCCCGAGTAGCTGGGAATACAGGCATGTGCCACCATGCCTGGCTTGTTTTTTGTTTGCTTGTTGAGATGGGGTCTCATTATGTTGCCTAGGCTTGTCTTGAGCTCCTGGGCTCAGGTGAACTTCCCACCTCAGCCTTTATAGAAATGAGCCACTGTGTCAGCCCAAATAAGATTTTTGTGGTAGGATATGCTGATCATTAGTGTTAGTAAAAGGCTTTTCTCTGTGCATCAAGGTTATTCATATCTGCACTCCATTTGAGAAGAGTAAAACATAGAACTCTGTCATAAGATTCTGAACTTAGAATAAATAGTAAAGAAGTAACAAGCCAGTCTTGTTACTTGTTACAGGTGCTTTGCACCTGTAGTTCCAGCTACTTGGGAGGCGAAGGTAGGATTGCTTGAGCCCAGGAGTTAGAAGCCAGCCTAGGCAATATAGACACACCTTCTCTCTTTCTCTCTCTTTGTTTTATTTTAGTTTTTTTGTTTTTGTTGTTTTTTTTTTTTGTTTTTTTGTTTGTTTGTTTTTTGGGAGACAGAGTCTAGCTCTGTCCCCCAGGCTGGGGTACAGTGGCACGATTTCAGCTCACTACAACCTCTCCCTCCCAGGTTCAAGCAGTTGCCCAGTTCCGCCTGCTGAGTAGCTGGGATTACAGGCACATACCACCATGCCCGGCTAATTTTTTGTATTTTTAGTAGAGATGGGGTTTCACTATCTTGGCCACGGTGGTCTTGAACTCCTGACCTCGTGATCCACCTGCCTCAGCCTCCTAAAGTGCTGGGATTACAGGTGTGAGCCACCGTGCCTGGCCAACACCTTGTCTTTTAACAAACAACGCTCTTAGCTGATGCCTGACTTAAACTCTGTGGTCCTTGCTACCCCAGTCCCATCAAAGTTGATATGCTGTGTATTATTCAGCAATGACAGTTAGGAAGAATAAAGGAAATAGAAATGAAGAGGTAGAATGGTCAGTGTTTTGCAGTTGGTTGGGTATGCAGGATAAAGATGGTAAACTCAGATGATGAAGTTTCATGTATGGACGGGAGACTTGTAGAGATTAGGCTTTGGAACTAGATTCCTGGATTCAAATCCCATCTCTATAGCTTGGTAGCTGTTTGTTCCTGGGCAGCATTTTTTAACCTCCGAGCCTCAGTTTGCTATGTATAAATGGAAATAATTTAGTACCCACTTCATTAGGTTATTGCGGGGCTTTAGAGAAAGTCCACATAAAGCACTTACTTAGCTTAGTGCCTGAATGTTTATTATTATTATTATTATTTTATTATTTTTTTTGAGACGGAGTTTCACTCTTTGTTACCCAGGCTAGAGTGCAATGGTGTGATCTCTGCTCACCGAAACGTCCACCTCCTGGGTTCAGACAATTCTCCTGCCTCGGCATCTTGAGTAGCTGGGATTACAGGCACGCGCCACCATGCCCAGCTAATTTTTTGTATTTTTAGTAGAGACGGGGTTTCACCATGTTGACCAGGATGGTCTCAATCTCTTGACCTCGTGATCCACCCGCCTTGGCCTCCCAAAGTGCTGGGATTACAGGCTTGAGCCACTGCACCCGGCCTTTTTATTAATTATTAATAGCAAGGCCAGTTTTTAAGCTAGAAAACAAACAAGGAGGATCAGAGGTAGGAGATGTTAAAGAAGATGATTTTCATTTAGAGGAGCTGAGTTTAAAGTAGCTAAGGGCAGTATCCAGAAGACAGGACTGCTGGCCTGGCCGGGAAAGGGAATTACTTGGGTTGTTGCAGGAGTGATGATGCTGGATCCACTATGTAGCTTTGCATTCATTCTCTGAAACTGCTTCCTAGATGGCTTCAAAGCTCCCAAAGCTCCACCGGTTTGAACCTGTGAAAAATGTCTGATGAACTGAGACAACTTGAGGTTACTCACCTTTAGCTCCAGACTGTAGTTGACTAACTGGAAAGTTTTTGTGCTTTTTCCAACCACTGGCGCCAGGGCTACTGCGTGTGTGTGTGTGTGTGTGTGTTCCCTGCTCTGTGGTGCCTGGGCCAGGGGAGAACGTGGTAAAATCCCGCTGTTGTCTTCACTCCAAGCCTTGTACGCTTGGCTGCAACTGAATGGGCTGGCAGGATTTCTGCCTTGGGAATGTTTGTCTGCTCCCTCCATGGGTGGGGCTTAGTGTTGAGAGTCAAGCCACTGAGGAAGTTGCCTGTGACCAGCTTGACTCCATGTGGTCAGTGTAATTTTCTTTGATAAAGGACCGCCTCCTGGAGTTACTTAAATTCTTTTTTTTCTTCTTATTGCAGATCATCAATGCCGTGGTACTGTTGATTTTATTGAGTGCCCTGGCTGATCCTGATCAGTATCACTTTTCAAGTTCTGAACTGGGCGGTGACTTTGAGTTCATGGATGATGCCAGTAAGTAGTAGATATTTTGGTATTTTCAAGGGCAGGGAATCTGACTCCAGTACTTCCTATTAAGTTACAGATATTGACTCGTGAGCCTATTTGAGCTGATACATAAGTTTCTGTCATCACAAATCAACAAATACTTGTGGCCGGGCGCGGTGGCTCAAGCCTGTAATCCCAGCACTTTGGGAGGCCGAGGCGGGTGGATCACGAGGTCGAGAGATCGAGACCATCCTGGTCAACCTGGTGAAACCCCGTCTCTACTAAAAATACAAAAAATTAGCTGGGCATGGTGGCACATGCCTGTAATCCCAGCTAGTCAGGAGGCTAAGGCAGGAGAATTGCTTGAACCCAGGAGGCGGAGGTTGCGGTGAGCCGAGATCGCGCCATTGCACTCCAGCCTGGGTAACAAGAGCAAAACTCCGTCTCAAAAAAAAGAAAAAAAAAAGGCCAAAAGGCTCAGGGTAGAAAGTCTACGACAATGCAATAGATTTTTATATGAGTAAGTTAACACGAGATGAAAAAAGATCTTATTTAGACTCTTGCACCTAGAAGACAGTCAGAACGTGGGCGCACACAAGTATTTATTTTTTTTTTTTTTGAGACGGAGTTTCGCTCTTGTTACCCAGGCTGGAGTGCAATGGCGCGATCTCGGCTCACCGCAACCTCCGCCTCCTGGGTTCAGGCAATTCTCCTGCCTCAGCCTCCTGAGTAGCTGGGATTACAGACACGCGCCACCATGCCCAGCTGATTTTTTTTTGTATTTTTAGTAGAGACGGGGTTTCACCATGTTGACCAGGATGGTCTCGATCTCTTGACCTCGTGATCCACCCGCCTTGGCCTCCCAAAGTGCTGGGATTACAGGCTTGAGCCACCGCGCCCGGCCTCCTTTTGGCCTTTTTTGAGAGGAAGAGGCATAAATGGCAGGAAGGAAGGTGAAAAGCTCGTGCTTATCTCCTTGTGTCTTCTATTATGTTTCAGTATTTATTTTTATTCTAGGAGGTGATTCTTTTCCATTCTAGAAATGATGTTGCAGATTATTTGGGGGAATTTAGGATGTTTTTCCAGTGAATGGAAATATGTACACGGATATGGGGTAAATAGGGAGGAAGCTAGGCTCCCAGCTTAAAGATCACTGCAGCCTAATCATTTTATAATCATAATCATGCTGAGTCCATGGCAAAGGAGAGGGGCAGTACTGTGCATAATCTTAAGAGAAGATAGTACAGATTTATTTCTCATTGGCTTTGGAGAACTTCAAGTGAGCTTTTCATAAAAATCATTGGAGGAAATAAGAGGGGAGGGAGAGAGTGGCTCAGCACGCAGTTTTAGAGCTAGATAGGAAGCATTCGAAAGACGTGGTGAGGGCTCTGTTTCTCCACGTGAGAAAAAGCCGTTCAGTGGTTTTAACTGAATGCATGAACTGATGTGTGCATTTAAGATCCCTTTTTTTGCTGAGTGGAGGGTACGTTTGGGGGACTGTGTGTGTGAGCACAGAGGCTGGGAGAGTGGTATTGGGGATAGCACCTAGGCTGCACTGGGGTTAGAGAACAGGGAGAGATTTGGCAGAATTTGCTGGTTTGGGCGGTGAAGGAAACGGAGGAATCAAAGATAACTTCTGCCTTCAAGCTTGAGGAGATGACCTGTGTCTTTACTGAGCTGAGAAAGTCTGGGAGTCGGGAGGTGGGAACAGACCTGGGGGGCAAAACTCGACTTTAATTTCAGTAACTAGCTGAGCACAGTTGTTAGGGATTGATAGGTTTGGCGTGTTCCCACCTAAATCTCAACTTGAATTGTATCTCCCGGAATTCCCCTATATTGTAGGAGGGACCCACGTGGAGGTGATTGAATTATGGGAGCTGGTCTTTCCTTTGCTAATATTGTGATAATGATTAAGTCTCATGAGATCTCATAGGTATATTAGGAGTTTCCACTTTTGCTTCTCCTCATTCGCTCTTGTCACCACCATGGAAGAAATGCTTTTCACCCTCTGCCGTGATTCTGAGGCCTCCCCAGCCAAATGGAACTGAGGTTAAATCCAGTTAAACCTCTTCCCCAGTCTTGGGTGTGTCTTTATCAGCCCTGTGTAAATGGACTAATACAGTAAATTGGTACCAGTAGAATAGAGTTTTACTGAAAAGATACCTCAAAATGTGGAAGTGAGTTTGGAACTGAGCAACAGGCAGAAGTTGGAACAGTTTGGAGGGTTCAGAAGAAAACAGGAAAATGTGGGAAAGTGGCAAGGCGAGGTGACTCATGCCTGTAATTCCAGCACATTGGGAGGCCAAGGTGGGTGGATCATGAGGTTAGGAGTTCAAGACCAACCTGGCTATCATGGTGAAATCCTGTCTCTACTAAAAATACAAAAATTAGCTAGACATGGTGGTGCACTCCTGTAATCCCAGCTACTCAGGAGGCTGAGGCAGGAGAATTGTTTGAACCACAGGGGCAGAGGTTGCAGTGAGCCCCGGAGGCAGAAGTTGCAGTGAGTGAATATCGAACCACTGCACTCCAGCCTGGGTGACAGAGCACGGCTCCGTCTTAAAAAAAAAAAAAAAAAAAAAAAAAAAAAAAACAGAAAAAGAGCCGGGCGCGGTGGCTCAAGCCTGTAATCCCAGCACTTTGGGAGGCCGAGGCGGGTGGATCATGAGGTCAAGAGTTCGAGACCATCCTGGTCGACATGGTGAAACCCCGTCTCTACTAAAAATACAAAAAATCAGCTGGGCATGGTGGCGTGTGCCTGTAATCCCAGCTACTCAGGAGGCTGAGGCAGGAGAATTGCCTGAACCCAGGAGGCCAAGGTTGCGGTGAGCCGAGATCGCGCCATTGCACTCCAGCCTGGGTAACAAGAGCGAAACTCCATCTCAAAAAAAAAAAAAAAAAAAAAAAAAATGGGAAAAATTAGAACTTCCTAGAGACTTGTTGAATGGCTTTGACAAATATGTTGATAATGATGTGAATAATAAGGTCGAGGCTGACTGAGGTGGTCTCAGATGGAGATAAGAACTGGAGGAAAGGTGATTCTTTATAACCATCTGATTTTTTTTTTTTTTTTTTTTTTGAGATGGAGTCTTGCTCTGTCAGCTGTCTGGAGTGCAGTGTATTTCGGCTCACTGCAACCTTGGCCTTCTGGATTCAAGTGATTGAACCCCTGCCTCAGCCTCCCTGTAGCTGGGACTATGTGCCCAGCTATTTTTTTTTTTTTTTTTTTACATTTTAGTAGAGGTGGGGTTTTGGCCAACGATGGTCTTGATCTCCTGACCTCATGATTCCCCCACATTGGCCTCCCAAAGTGCTGGGATTATAGGCATGACGAAACCCTGTCTCTACTAAAAATACAAAAATTGTTTGGATGTGGTGGCACGTGCCTTTGGTCCTAGGTACTTGGGAGACTGAGGCTGCAGTGAGCTGAGATAATGCCGCAGTACTCCATCGTGGGTGACAGAGGAAGACTCTGTCTGGGGGAAAAAAAAGAAAGTAATTACAAACCATTCATTCCTTTCAAATATATAAAATACAAGAGAAACCAAAAACGCACTGGAATTAACATCCAGGACATTGTAAAACAATAACTATTTTGAAGTCTGAAGTACCAGCAAGTCTTTCAAGGTAGCTAAATATAGGCTATCATGTCACATGGTCATTACCCAGCTTAATCTCTGGTGATGAAAATAAGACATGCAGTGTTACTACATATTCGATCCAGATAGAACCATAGCATTAGCATTTACAACTTCTTTTCCTAACTTCAATTACCTAAGAAAGGAAATCCTGCTACTGGAATTGTGTAGCTTTAATCCGGAGGGAAAGAAAACAGAGTGATGTTAATTTAACATTAATTAAACTCATTATTCTTTCTGAAAGAATTCATATGAGTAATGGGGGTCATTCAGAATAGAGAGAATAAGAAATGTTAGACCAGGTGCAGTGGCTCACACTTGTAATCCCAGCACTTTGGGAAGCTGAAATAGGAGGATTGCTTGAGCTCAGGAGTTGGAGATCAGCCTGGGCAACATGGCGAAACCCTGCTCAAGTAAAAATACAGAAATTAGCCGGGTGTGATGGTGCGTGTCTATATTCTCAGATACTTGGGAGGCTGAGGTGGGAAGATTGCTTAAGCCTGGGGACAGATGTTGCAGTGAGCCGAGACTGTGCCACTGCACTCTAGCCCAGGGGACATAGCGAGACCTTGTCTCAGAAAAACAAAACAAAAAAAATTATGAAAGTTAATATAGCAATTTTAACTTGTTATCTTTTTGTAGTGGTGACACCTATCCGAAGATTTCATCTTCAGAGCACAACTCTTTCTCACTTTTACATGTGATTTTTTTCCCCCCATAATCTGGTAGAAGAAAGCTAAATTCCAGTTTATATTAAAACGAGGTATATAGGAGAATCTACTGGAATAAAAAAAGAAAATAGAAGGAAATAGCTTAAAATTTTTTTTCTTTTTTCTTTTCTTTTTTTCTTTTTTTTTTGTTTTTTTGAGACTGAGTTTCGCTCTTGTTACCCAGACTGGAGTGCAATGGCACGATCTCGGCTCACCGCAATCTCCGCCTCCTGGGTTCAGGCAATTCTCCTGCCTCAGCCTCCTGAGTAGCTGGGATTACAGGCACACGCCACCATGCCCAGCTAATTTTTTGTATTTTTAGTAGAGACGGGGTTTCACCATGTTGACCAGGATGGTCTCAATCTCTTGACCTTGTGATCCACCCGCCTCGGGCTCCCAAAGTGCTGGGATTACAGGCGTGAGCCACCGCGCCAGGCCAAAAAAATTTTTTTTTTTTTTTTTTTTTTTTTTTTTGAGACGGAGTTTCGCTCTTGTTACCCAGGCTGGAGTGCAATGGCGCGATCTCAGCTCACCGCAACCTCCGCCTCCTGGGTTCAGGCAATTCTCCTGCCTCAGCCTCCTGAGTAGCTGGGATTACAGGCACGAGCCACCATGCCCAGCTAATTTTTTGTATTTTTAGTAGAGACGGGGTTTCACCATGTTGACCAGGATGGTCTCG